TGGTCGCGCGCGGCGCGTAGCGCCATCCGACTGGTCGGGCACCTCGGCTGGGTCCATCGGCAAGAGGCCCGCGCCGTCGGCCAGCCCCGCGAGCGCATGGGCGGCCGGCGCGAGCGGAGAACGACGGGCCAAGATCGGCTGGTTTGGCACGAAAAACGAGAACCGCGAAGGGGGGTCCGAATAAGTTACATCATAGACAGGGGCGGGTCTCTCTTGTTAGGTTAGGTAGGAAGGTGAAGAACAGGTGAGGAGCCAGGAAGAAGAAAAATGCCATTTCTCATGGCCACCACCCTGGGTTCCGGCTCCTACCCAGATAGGGGGTCTGTTCCCCACGGTTAGACCCTATGCAATAGGTAGGTAGGCCATGCTCTGGCGGGCTCGCGAGCGGCGCGCACCGCGGTACAAGCCGGCTGGGAGCCTATTCACAGAGGGCTAACGGGTATTTTTTCGCTTCGCTGCGCGGCCTGGGAATAGGTAGGTAGGTGGGGCACGGACGGAGCCTGGCGGTCGGCGCCCGCAATAGGTAGGTAGGTAGGGCGTTTTGGTGCGAGTCATGGGCAACAGACCCCCTATCTGGGTAGGAGCCGGAAACCTGGGCTGGGCGCCGTCTCCCGCCGAGCTCGGTTTTTTAATTTTTTATTTGCTGAGCTTAGCCTTCGATGTTATGAAACCAAAAGGGCCACACCACGCCCTCTACGCTGGGGTGCCGGCGCCCTAAGCGTTCCCTTTCGTCGATCGTCGATCGCGGCTCCCTCCCTCCCGGATGCCTGACTCCCGGTGCTCCGTCCGTCTCGTGCGTCAGACCAGCATTGCTCCATGCAATCCAGGAGTGAGCTTCGGCTGCCTCGCCAACGACCCGCGGCAGGTGTGGGTTCACAAGTGCCGTGGGATATTTCGCTGTGACGGCGGCGGGAACTTCTTGTGTGGGAACTTCTCGTACGACGGGTACCGGTACGACGAATTGTACACCTGCGGATGCGAGCCTGCGGCGCCATCGCCTCAGCAGCCGTGTCGGAGGGCTGCGACGCGCGCTCGCCGCCACCGTTGCCCCTCTGGCGGCCCCATCTGCATCTTTGTCCTGACCGAAGCTGGCAGGCCTGCGTATCTCGACCGGCTCGTCTCTGTCGCTGTCACCTGGGCGACGACGCCGCTGCCTGCAAACACGAGCCTTCATTTTGTGCTCTCCGCCCACGGGATCTCTTCGCTCTTTGACCAGAAGAACCTCTCGAGCCGCGTTGCCTCGCTCCGTGCTTCCGCGGCTGCGAGGCTGGCCAAGCACATGGCGGCATCAGCGCCGCACATCTCGGAGAGGACCCCGGCGCTCCGAAACGACAACCTTGTCGTCTTGGACGACTCCATCCGCGACAGCTTCAGGCTCGAGCCACGAGCCTACGCGCAGCGCCTCGAGTGGGCATTCCACGCGGCGCGCGAGCGCTTTGCCAGCGCGTGTGAGTGGATCGTGATGACCGAGGACGACACGTATGTCGACATGCACGCGGTGCGCTGGGCGGTCGACTGCCTGCTGGCTCCGGTGAGAGAGCGCCAGTTCTGGTACACTGGTCAAGTGTTTGGCCACAGCTGGGGCGACTTTGTTCACGCGCGGGAGGCGACCAGTTCGACGCGGAGCTGTGAACGCGTCTCTTTACGTCTGCCAGGCTGTGAATAGGGCGACTTTATGCTCTTGAACCGGAAGGCCTTCGTGTGGACGGACGATGCCATCCGCCACTGCCCGCTGGCGCGCGTCTTCTGGAGCGACAGGTGGCTCGGCGGCTGCATCAGGCACGCTGCAGGCTGGCCCAACTACCCAGAGAGGCCGAAGCATCCCCTCGACTACCACCGTGCGCCAGAGATGAGGCCGAAACGGTGGCCATCTGCGATCACTGTCGACACCTTGACGGCGCTCCCGGACCTTGCCAAAACGCTGCTACGCGCGAGACGAGCGCGCGGGGCCAACGACTCGGCCGGGCGGTGGCGCCTAGCCGGCGCTCGGGCCCAAAGTCTTCAGCTGGGACTGCTGCGCTCGACGAGCTACCACAAATTGTCTCCAGACGACATGCTGGCCGTCCACGCCATCCTCCAGGAGGACGACCTCGCCCACGCGCGACGCGAGCTCTTCTCGCGGGGAGGAGGAAGGGCGCGCGCAGAGTCAACAGAAAGAATGGGAGCGCACGCACTGTGCTCGGAGCCCCGCCAGCGCCTGCGCTCCTAAGCGCGTCCGTGCTAGAGCTAGGGGGGGAGTCCTGAGCCATTCGGCGCGTGAGGTGAGGCGCGGGGCGCGGCATTGCAGAATCCCAATGTGCAGTTATGTTTTTTTTGAGAGCGCCTTCGTTGTTAATAGTACAAACCCAATGGTCCTCTGCGAGCGGTCCTTCGTTGCAGTCGCGCACACGCACACGCCATGCCGCACCGCGCGCCCGCCCACCGCCCCGCCCAGGCGGGAAAGAGATGAGGAGATGGGACAGCAAAGGAGGAGCACGAGCACGTATGGGAGGGTTCATTCTGTGCGTGTTTGCTGTGAGATAGAGAGGCTTTTGCTTATAGAATTTTCTTCGTGCTTGCATTTCTTTTGTGTGACGGCCTCTTCGACGGCCCATAAGGGGCCGTTGTCTGCTGTGCCTTTTGTGGTGCTAGTTCGTGCCAGTCTGCTAAAAGAAAGAAAGAAAACAGACAACCCAAGGGAGGGATGGGAGGACGGCACGCCGCCACCACACAGGGATTTTAAGGAGAGGGGTGTGATGCGCTAGCCGTCGCCCACCCTAGGGGGTCTGCCTCTTCCTATCTCTTTTCGCAGTCTCTCGCCGCTTCTCGCTGCAACCTTCATGCCACCTCGCGGCCGCCAGTCTGCTAAAAGAAAGAAAACACACAACCCAAGGGAGGGATGGGAGAACGGCACGCCGCCACCACACAGGGATTTTAAGGAGAGGAGGGTGTGAAGCGCTAGCCGTCGCCCACCCTGGGGGGTCTGCCTCCTCGTATCTCTTTTCGCAGTCTCTCGCCGCTTCTCGCTGCAACCTTCATGCCACCTCGCGGCTGTCCCACTCTCGTCGTTCTCTCCCTTGTCACTTCCCCCTCTGTCTCGTCGTTCTCTTCTGCCTCGTCCTGCGACGCCGCCGCCTGCCGGTCCCTTGTTCTCGCGGCTTCTTTCGCCTCTCGGCGCAACTCCGTCCTCCTTGCGGCGTATCCTGGCCCCTCGAGTCTATCGAGCTCCCCTCGCGCAAGGACCACATTTGTGTGTGTGCCGTCGTCTGCGCCTTGTCTGTCGTGTGAATCGTGCGTGTGGGAGAGCCTTTTGTTGTGAAAATTCTGTGTGTGAGCCGCCAAAAGTTCCTTCTTGCACGCCGTCGGATGGTCGCCCACCCTGCGACTGCTCTTCTGCTCTAGGATGGCTGCCGAGGCACATGACGGCCTTCAGCGCGAGGTCGATCGCCGCACGATCGTCGGTGCGATTCTCAGTCACGAGCGCGACAGGCTGCAGCCGACTCGGAGGCCGATGCCGACGGAGGAGGCGCACGTTGGCCAGCGCAGCACCGGTCATCTGCAGCGGCGAGGCGTGCGCAGCAAAAGGGTGCCCGATTGGGGGGCCCTCTTTGCCTACCATCCGCGTCGGCAGCTGAACGCGACGCTCTGCGTCGGCAAGGATGGCGACGGCTGCCTGGACCGCCTCAGCTCGGGCAAGGGCCAGAAGAAGAGTTACTTTACGGTGTGCTCGAGCACACCGCCGCCTCCACGCAGACACAACCACGACACGCCCGCGACACGACCACGCGCCCGCGACGCGCCCGCGACGTGTCCGAGCAGGTCCCGCTGCGAGGCTTCTCGCTCGCGCTCGACGAGGCGCCTCGCCTGCCCGCCGCGCTCTCCGCCGCCTCGCCTCGCTCCCCTGCCGCCGATGCCGGCGCCACGGCGGGCGCTGTGGCGCCGCCTCTGCTGCTGCTCGGGCTGATCAGCGGCAGCCGCGAGCGGCGCCGCTCCTAGATGCCAAGGGACACGCGTGTCTGAACTCCTTCATGCGCCCGAGAGTGCACGTGGCATCGGCTGACGTGGGAGAGGGAGGCTCGCACTTCCGCACGCAGGCGCGCGCTGCTGCGCTGTACGTGGCTCAAGCTCGGCGGGGGCTCAGCGGGGCTGCGGGTCAAGTTTGTGGTGGGGCACGGCCGGCCACTCGAGGACAGCGCCGACTTGCTGGTCGTCAACGTGACGGAGGGCGAGCGGATGCGGAGCGACACGGATCCGCGCAATTGCCCCGCCGGGAAGATTTGCACGGGCTCCGTCGCAACCTATTGGAAGCTCGCCGCCTTTCTGCGGTACGCGGCCACTCAGCCGGAGCCGATGATCGGGCGAGGCGACGATGACGTCTTTCTCTCGCCGCCAATGCTTCTGGCGCACGCGTCACTGCTTGCGCGCCTCTCCCAGCCGGTGTTTGCCGGTGTGTTCGAGTGGTACTCGTGGCGCACGCAGACACTGCACTCGACGGGGTTCGGACTCTCTGCCGGCGCCGCTCGGCACGGCCGCAAGAAGGTGTGGCGCAACTGCACCAGCGCGCGCAAGGCGCTGGGGCACGACGCCGCTCAGCACCCTGTCTCGTTGACGACGCCGAGGCAGCCCGACTTGTGCGTGGGGCCGCTCGCCTTTGCAAAAGGGCCTCTGGTGATGCTCTCCTCGTCCGCCGTCCGCTGGCTCGTCAGGAGCCCCCTCTTTTCGCGCGACCTGAAGCGTGCACGCGAGATGATGGACGGGCGGGCTCCCCCGTACCACGGCCCTGGCTCCGGACGGATCGACGACGACGTGCAGCTTGGGTACTGGATGGCGCAGCTGCCGCACCTGCGCGTGGTTGGCTTCCGGCGGTACATGGCGTGGCACGACCGCTGGAAGGCGGGCGTGACCGGCTACCTGCCAAGGCTGCTGCAGGCGCACAAGGTGCCGTGGGACAAGCAACGCACCCTCTGCAACCAGACCCGCGCGGTGTGGTCGAAAGCGCGCCGCGCCTCCGTCTCGCTGCACTGCGACAGCAGCCCGCCCTGCCGGGACTGCGCACACGTGCAGATTAGCCGAGAGGAGCCGAGAGGAGCCGAGAGGAGCCGAGAGGAGCCGAGAGGAGCCGAGAGGAGCCGAGAGGAGCCCGCCGTTCCGGGATTGCTCCCCACGAGCACTTGTGCACTAGCGTCAGTCCCAGCGCCGCCGCGGGAAAAGGCGCCGCCCACGCGTTGCTCCGTGAGCAGGTGCCCACTCAGAAGGCGTGCGCGATCGACGTCGCGCTGGACCTCGGGCCGAGCTGGAGACCGCCGCCCACGTGCGCGCCCGTCTGCAACTTCAAAAAGGGGTCCGAGCCGCAGCTGCCCGGGCAGTGCTGGGCCCCGTGACGCGGGGTAGCCCGCTCAGGGGGGGCGGCAGCATCACGTGCTCGTGAAGCGGCGCCGGGCTCGACACAGATCACAGTCAACCGCGCACAGACGCACGTCTCTCTCGACGCCCTCTCCCTCTCTTGCACGCCTCCAGAAGTCCAGATTTCCTTTGAAAAGATTTTTTAGAAGGTAAAAAGAAAGCCGGGTGCCAATGTCCGCCTTCCACGCCAACGCACCGCGCCGCACGCCGCCGCCGCCTGCTGACAGCGCGCCGGGCGGCGAAGTCCCAAATAACGTCCTGAAGGCGGCTACGAACGGCCGATTGGGACCAGTGCGATCGTGGCTGAATGAAGGCGGGAAGGCCGACACTCTCGCTGAGTTGCCCTCTGAGGTTCGCGGCCGTACGGTTCCACGCACCATGCTGATCCTCGCCGCACAGAGCGGGCACGCGCAGATTGTCGAGCTCCTCCTGAAGCGTGGCGCGCACATCAACCTGCATACCAGTCGCGGCAACACTGCGCTCAACGCTGCAGCCTACTACGGCCGCGAGCGGATGGTGGAGATGCTGCTGCAGCACGGTGCGGAGTTGAACCCACAGGACTCCGCCGCCTGGTCGGCGCTGGCAACGGCTGCCGAAGGCGGAAAAGAGCGGGTGGTCGATCTGCTGCTGCGGCGTGGCGCGGAGATCGACCTGCAGAACAAGAACGGTGGCACCGCGCTGATGCTCGCCGCAGTGCACAACCGCCCCGCCGTCGTGCTCCGCCTTCTGCGGGCGGGCGCAGACATGACGTTGCGCGATGTGTACGGCAAGACGGCGCTGCAGTGGGCCAAGGAGGACGGCCACGCCGAGTGCGTCCAGGCCTTCAAGACGTATCTCGGCGAGGTGGCGGCGCGCCGGAGCATGGCGCCATCGGCTGAGGCTGGCGGCGCAGGCGCGGCGGTGGGTGCGAGTGCCGCGGCCTCTGCTCCGAGCGGCGAGGGTGGCTTGGAGGCCAAGCCGAGCAGCGGTGCGGTGCCAGAACAGGTTGCGCACGCGGCTGAGCGAGGCGACGAGGAGGCGGTGCTGGCGTGGCTCGACGGTGGCGGGCGGGTCGACGCGACGTTCGAGTACGTCTTTTCGGACGGCCCTGTGAGCGGCATGACGCTGCTTTTGCTCGCAATGACCTACGGCCACGCGGGGCTGGCCGAGGCACTGATCCAGCGCGGTGCGGATGCCTCGTTGCAGCACAGCAAGGGCGGCACTGCGCTGAATCTCGCCGCCATGAATGGCTTCGAGAGGCTAGTCGAGTTGGCGCTGCGGCACGGCGCGGTGATCAACCAGCAAACTACTCTCGGCAGCACCGCGCTGATGGCCGCCGCCCGGACGCACGCAGACGGCCACGAGAAAGTGGTCGACTCGCTGATCCGGCACGGCGCGGCGATCGACCTGCAAGACAACGGCGGCGACACCGCACTGATTGGTGCCGCTTTCTATGGCCGCCCCGCCGTCCTTCTCCGCTTGCTGCGGGCGGGCGCAGACGTGACGCTGCGCACTACGGATGGCAAGACCGCGCTGCAGCTTGCCAAGGAGCAGGGCCATGCCGAGTGCGTGCGCGCCCTCGCGGAGCATGCGGCGGCCGAGAAGGCGGCGGAGAAGGCAGCGGCAGAGGCGGCGTGGGCCGCAGGAGCGGCGGAGAGGGCGGCGCAGAGGGCGGCGGAGGAGAAGGAGGCGGCGCGGCACGCCGAGGAGCTGCTGGCGGAGGTCGAGGCTGAGAAGCGCGCCAAGGGCAAGAAGGGCAAGAAGAAGAAGAAGGGCGGCGGGGCGGGCGGGACGGGGCCGTCGCAGGAGCCCGAGGAGGGCATCGAGGCGCCGTCGGAGGCAGACGCAGCTGAGGCGGCGAAGAAGGCCGAGGAGGCGAGGATCCTCCGGCTTCTCGAGACGCTCACCGAGGAGAGGTTGCGGTTCGGCATCATGGCGGAGAGCCAGGCCGCGGCGTCGGCCGAGGTGGCCGAGGCGGCACGCTTGGCCGCTGAGGCGGACGAGGCGGAGGAGGAGGCGGATGAGGAGCAGGAGGCCGAGGCGGCGGCCGTGGCGGCGCTGGCTGTGGCCGAGGCTGCACGGGCGGAGTCCAGGGCGGCGCAGGCGGAGGCCAGGGCGGCGATGGACGAGGTCGTGGCGGCGCTGGACGAGGCCAAGGCGGCGATGGAGGAGGCCACGGTGGCGATGGAGAAGGCCACGGCGGCGCGTGAGGGGGACGAGACGGCGTTTGAGGAGGCGGCGGCCGCTGCAGAGGCGCGGCGTGCTGCTGCAGCCGCTGCGATGGCCAGGGCGACCGCCGCCAGGATGGCAGCGGAGGCGGCCCAGCGCTGATAGCGCGAGCTGCTCAGAAGAAGCGCGTGGCCACTATCCTGCGGACTCTCTGGGTGGAGCTTGGGAGCTTCCGTCGAGGACACGCTCGCCGAAGGGTCATCATGCACCGCTGAGATGTGTGCTCGGGTGACTGTAGTGTTGTCGTTGTTCGTTTGAGACGTCGGTGGAGGTCAGAGCGGGGGGGGGGGGGGGGACCCGGGCCCGCGGCCGGCGCGCGGCCGCTGGCCGCGCGGCGGTGCTCGGCCTCGGGGAGTGCGCCCGCAATTGCATGACCGCGACGCGTTCCAAATTTGCAATAACCAATATTAAATCCGTTACAAGAAAAATGTCGCTGGGTAACATTGGCACGCTAGATCACGCATGACGAGGCGCTAGACACTCTCGGGGCACACAGGGGAGGAAGCAGGAACAAGCCCGCGTCTGCGCGCCAGTGCGTGGCCGAGCGAGGCGAAGCCGCGGTGCGAGGGCTCGCACTAAGCGACCCTCGCACTGCGGGCCGACAGCCTCGCCCGCCCTGCTGTGGGTGTGGCATCACGGTGATGTATCTTATTCGGCCCCCCCCCTTGGCGCCTTCCCTTGTGATTTTCATGCGAAGACAGCGAGATCTCGGCCCGCCGTCCTCCGCTCGCGCCGGCCGCCCATGCGCTCGCGGGGCTGCCCGACGGCGCGGGCCTCTTGCCGATGGACCCAGCCGAGGTGCCCAACCAGTAGGAGCGGCGCCGACGCGCTGCGCGCGACCACCAGCCAGGCAGCTTTTTGGCCGGGCCGAGAACGGTGTGTCGAGAAAGCTGACACTCAAAGTAGCTGTCGAGTTTTTTTGCCTCTTTTTGAGCGCGGCTGCTGCACACCCAGCCCACCAGTGATACTAGACGCACCAGATTCACCCCGTCGCGAGCTTGACCGCGACCCCGGTGACCGCCCACAGGTGGCTGATCGCGGCCGCCGCTCACGCGTCGCTTTTCGGCGCCTGGCTCTCAGAGGGTCCCTGCGGCTCTCGCTCGTCGCGTGACCGCCGCCGACAGCATCTGCTCGGTCGTGCCCGCCGGCGCGGAGCTGCGCGACGTCGAATTGTTCGGCGGCTCGACCGCCGGCGCGCCCACCCTCGCCTCCTGCGCGCCTCACACAAAGTATTCACCTCGCGCGCGGCCGACATGCGACAAAGTGAGCGTACGACCACCTCCCTCTCAGTCACCCCCCCGACGATACACAGCCCGTTCGTTCTCGCCGAGAAGACGCTCGGAGCGCCCAACTTTGCCTCGTGCGGCCATCAAACAGGCGCGTTGCCTCCCATCTCCGCACTTCCCATCTACCCCCACACTGCCACTGCCGGGGACGCGCAGATGCGACTCCCGGGCCCGCTCACCTCACCCGAGCCCCGCCGACCAGGCACGGCCCGACGAGAACCCGCCGGGAAGGAGCTGGCCGAGCCATCGCCGGCCTCCCTGCCGGCTCATGACCGCTCAAAAGGTCGCTCACCCGCCCGTCGCTTGCCGCCCCTCTCCCAGCCCTTGCCGGCGCTTTTGCACGAACCTAGGGCTCAGTTCCGTCTCACTCCCCCTCCCTCCTGTGTGTAGGCCGTTTAATGCTGGCGGGAAGAGGCGCGCTGAGCCATCGGCGACGTCCCGGCGAGCTCATGGGCGCTCAAAAGGTCGCGGACCCGCCCGTCGCTTGCCGCCCCTATCTCCCAGCCCTTGCCGGCGACAGGATCACGAACCTAGGGCTCAGTTCCGTCTTTCTCCCCCTCGCTCCTGTAGGTAGGCCGCCCCGCGCTGGCGGGAAGAGGCGCGCTGAGCCATCGGCGACGTCCTGGCGAGCTCATGTCCCCCCAAAAGTCAGCGACTCGACCGTGAAAGAAATCAGCAGCAAAGTAGAACCCATGGGGACGATTGACTACTACGGCAGGCTACGACTGAGCAGGCGAGTGAATGAAGAACTAAGGAGAGTGGGACTCGACCACCTCACCACAGCGGAGGCGACGACTCACCCACGAGAGATCAAGTTTGTCAAGGCCTCACAAGCTAGCACATCGAACACCTAAAAACTTAAAGGCATCACACTACAAGGAAAGCGGCTGAGCTGACTCCCTGTAGGGGGCGCCTCGGTGAACCAGGGACTAGGATCTCGCGCAGACGACACAGGGCGTGCTGCGCCCCGCGCGATCCCTGGCACCGAGGAGGCTGAGCCGCCGAACTTAGGATGCCTGCAGAGAGGCTGGCGAAAGCCGGCGACCCACGCCCACAACTCATATCCACTACAACAAGCCACCATGCCCCGATAGGCCCCACCACCCCACCCCCAGGCAATGTAGTGCACATGTCTAGTCCGGAGAGGACAGGGGGGGGGGAGGGGGGGGAGGGGATAGCACTGTGCCGAGTATTTTGGGTCAAAGCAATTTCTTTTTTTGGAGATGCGAGGGTCACCCCCCCTTGCCCCACCACTTGGTGTGTGTGGCCAGAACCTCTACCTTGCCTTACCTTACGCACACGGAACACGCACTCCCACTCGTCGGTGACGACGGTGTCCCCTCCAGCTCGCCTCCACACCCTGGACACCCCGTACCACCTCTTAGAGCGCACTCAGACCTTGCGTCGCAAACGTGTTTTCTTTTCGTAG